GCACGATGAACTCGCTCACATACAGCGTCCACTGCTGCAGCCCCATGATCAGCATCGCCTCGCGGATCCGCAGCTCCTTCTCCAGCACGATGCGCTTCGTCTGCTGCGACACGCTGTAGAGGAACGCGAGCGTGAAGATCAGCGGCAGCACCTCGCGCGCCTGCGCCAGCAGCGGCACGCGGTCGTACGCCGGCGTCCCAACGGATGCCATCAGCTGCGTCATGTTCATGCTCGCGGCGTGGAAGCGGTTCACATAGAACTCGGACACGAGCTGCTGCAGCGTGTTGAAGCCGGAGAGCATGTACAGCTCCGCAGTGTCGAACAGCACACCGCCGCTGTAGGCGTCGTCGTACGTCGTCGCGAACGACGGCAGCGCCGAGTTGTTCATGTGCAGCACGAGGTCGAGGCCGCTGCTGCTCAGCTGGCGCAGCTCCACCACCGCCCACACACGCTCACGACCGCCGGCGGCACCGAGCGCCGCACCGACGCTGTCGTACACGTGGAAGTCTGTCGCGTACTGAAACAGCTGCGAGGTCTTGTTCATGTACGCCACGAGCTCCGCCGTGATGGACGGCGGCCCCACGAAGTACAGCCGACCACTGCACAGTATCGAGCTGTAGCGCGTGTTCGCCGCGAGCCCCGCCATCGTGTTGGTGATGAAGGGGAGGACATGTCGGTACGCCGACAGCGCCACCCACTGCAGGCTGATAAGCACATCCAGCGTTGGCACGGCAGACAGCCACCGCCAGTAGTTGGTGATACTCCCGGTGAGTATCGACTCCCACTCGTTGCCGGATATGCGGCACACCTCGTACCCATGTGGCAGCGGAAGCATGCTGGAGTCGCCGTCGCACACAAAGTTCGTCACCGTGAAGTCCTCACACTTCTGCGTCACCGGGTCGCACGTCGTGAAAGTAACGGGCTCACACCGTGTGAACTCCGCCAGCGTCTTCGTTCCGTTCGGCTGCTTCATGCAGGTGAAGTCGTGGGCGACTGGCGCGTGCAGGCCGGCAGCGCCAGCGAAGCCCGCTTCCAAGTTACCCGAGACGTACGACATCTCCTCGTTGTACTGCGTGCCCCAGATGGCCCACAGCGCTATCGACACAGCCATGAAAACAAGCGGCACGGCGATCTCCAGCAGCAGATCTACTTTACGTCTCCACAGCTGCCGCGACGACCGCTCCACCACGGCGAACAGCTGATCCGCAAACGACGCGTGTGCCGTGACACCCCGGCCCTCGTCACTGTCGCTGTAGCTGTCGCTGTAGCTGTAGCTGTAGCTCAGTGACGACTCACTCTCGTCGGAGGCGCTCCCGCTGCCACTCGTACTGCTGGTGCTGCTGCTGCTGCTGCTCACGTTGACGTTCGGGGCAGCGGTCGCCGTCGAGCGGCGGCGGCGACCACCACGGCCATCGCCGGCGTTCGCACCGGCACCGCCGCGGCCGCGGCCGCGCACGTCGTGACTCGTGAAGTTCACTGTGCGGTTAATGAGCTCGTTGCGGCGCATCGCACCAAGACCCGCGCGCCGCCTCGACGGCGAGTACCAGCTCCGGTTCGAGGCGGCCGAGCCGCCGAGCGGGTACGCGGCATTCGCGAGCTCTTCCATCGACTCGTCGTCATCGTCGTCGTCGTACACCCCGTTGGCGCCGGCGCGCAGCTGTCCGGCACTCGCGCACGCGGAGTACGACTCCTCACTCGGCCTGCGACCCTTCGGCGCTGCGGCGCCAGTGTCGAGGTAGTCGTCCTCCCTCGTGGGCGGGAAGGCGGGGGGCTCCTTGTCAGCGGCCTTCATTGTCGGGAAGGTCGTCCGCGGCAGAGGTGGAGCGACACGGAGAGTGCACACACACACACACAACACGTTTGTGGACCGCACCAGCTTCAGGGAGACGGACGGACAGCGACTATGCGGCGGTCTCCCTTGCGCTCTCTCGCTCCCTCTGTGGGGACACGGCGGAGCCAGAATGCGAGGAGGAGGGATCCACCGGAGAGAAGGTGAAGAGAGGGGAGGTGGTGGAGGTCAGGGAGAAGATCAATGAAAGCGCAACACAGACACACTGTGTGACGCAGAGCCACACAGTCGACAACGCTCCCTTCGCCACGGCCGACACGTGCGATCACCAAGATACAGAGAGGCGAGAAAACGAGAGAGAGAAAGAAAGAGAAAGCAGCAACAGTAAGAGCAGCGACAGCGAAAGAGCAAGCGATGGCGGCACAGAAGTCGTACGAGAGATCTGTGCGTGCGACGATGCGGACAACGCGGTGCAGCGGGGAGAAGAGAAGAGGCAGAGGCAGAGGCGGAGGCTGCGTTTTACAGTGTGTACACAGATGATGATGATGATGATGGAGAAACAAACAACAAAAGAAAAGTAAGTGCAGAGAGATGAAAAAAAAAAAAAAAAAGAGTGAGAGGGGGGAAGAAGAAAGAAAACAGGCACAGGAACACACCAAACAACACACACACACACCACACCACACCACACAAAAGAGATGAGACAACCGACACAGAGGGAGGGCGACAGAGAGACAGAGAAAGAAAGAGTGAGAGATATGCACAGATACACACACGATGCACACACGATGTCCCCTCGCCTCCCTCAAAGAGAGGGGGAGAAAAAAAAAGAAAAAAAAACCAACGGAGACAGGGGAAGATATGGAGAACAAGTGACACCCGTTGAGGAGGAGGAGGAGGACAAGAAGAGAGCAAAAGATGAAGGACAGTGCTGGCACTGATTCGGCAAGGACACACACGAAACAAAACAAAGAGAGTTCGGACAACGGAAGCAAACACTCTGTTGCCCCGCTGAGCCGAGCTCGGGTACACAAAACACACACACAAACGCACACACCTGTGTGTGTGTGTGTTTGTGTGGAAGGACTTATCTGCTGTTTCTTTTTTTTTTGTTGTTGTTGGTGTTTTGGTGTGCGTGTGCTCAAACACAGAGCGAGGACGTAGTCTGCACTGTGCCGACTCGAGCACGCGCAGCCTTTTGCGACCCTCAAACGTTGAGCCTAAGCGGTGTGGTTTCAGAGATGCACACACACACACACACACACACAGGTGCGCGCGAGCACGCGCACACAGACGCCCGAGATCCGATGCGCCACTCTTTTTTTTTTTTTCTTTTGAACTAGCTGTTCACGCCGATGGAAACACTAGAGCAATGCGTGACAGTCTGTCAGCACCTAGCTGCGCCGCAAGCCGAGATGTACCGACAGCGCACATGGAGGTGCACATGTTTGTGTGTGTGTAGGTGTAAATGTGCAGACAGATGGAAGCGCAGGATAGACAGAGAGAGAGAGTAAGTGGGAGACAAAGGGTGCTGACGATCCATCGCACGGCAGGCCGCACAGCGCAACGCGACACAGAGACAGACACGTCGGCTGCGTGAGAGGGCACTCGGCGACGTTCCACACACACACACACACACACACACACTAATCTGCGGCGCCGCAAGTACCCAGGTGGTGGAGAGGACCGCAGACGCACACCAACAGCATGCACGCCTGTGGAGACCCTCTCCTAACATCAAAGAAAGGGGAACTTGTGTGTGTCTGTGTCTGCTTGTGAACCGGGGGAGGACAAGGGAAGGAGAGGGGAGGCACGTAAGCACACGGGCTGGGGGGTTGGAGGAGATGACACGCTCTCGCGACTCTTTTGTGAAAGTGCAACAGAGGGAGAAACTTGAGAACAAAAAAATGTAGAAGAGAATAACAAGATGAGATGCGACCTGTGGCGGGGAGGGGACGTTAGTGGATCTCGAGCGTACACAGAGACTGACAGACCATCGCACACTCAGGTGGAGCACCGGTGCACAGAAGCATACATGGCGGCAGACGCGATGGGGGTCACTGGCGTCACGGGACGCCACTCGCCCTTCATTTCTTCGCCGTTCCTCAGTAGACGCGTGCACAGCCCGCCACAATCTCCGAGCTGTGCAGCGTCTCGCCACGCCCGCGACGCCCCGCCCGCCGCTTCACCCGCTCGAAGGTCTCCTCAATCGACGTCTGCGCCACCGTGTAGGATGTGATGTGCAGCTGCACGCAATGTTCGTGCAACACGGCGAACACCTCCCCCAGCGGCCGGTCGTAGGGAAGGTGGAAGACAAAGCGCCGCCGGTCGCCGCCAACGCACGCGCCCTGTGGGAACACCGTCTTCATGAAGCGTCGCAGCTGGGGCAGGTGGTCTGGCGCTGCCACGGTCACCTGCGACTCCAGCACACGGCCGTACTTCCCCTTCAGGTACGCGGCATCCCCGAAACACTGAACGGCGCCGTCCACCATGATGGCCACGATGTCCGCCAGCGCCTCCACCTCCTCCAGGTGGTGCGTCGTCAGCACCACGGAGCAGTGCCCGGCGGCGCGCTGGATCGCCGTCCACATCCCGCGCCGCGCCACCGGGTCC